TACTCTGCGGTGTCGTAATGGGGATGCAAACTAAATATTACCATCTTTCTCTAGTAGACTTCTCCTAATTAATTTACCAACTTTTATTCAAACTTAGGGCGACGCTTGATATTACTTTTATACGTAAACTTATTTACGGGGAAGTGGATGGTACCGTTTTACTGGGTCGCCTATACTTATCAGTGCCTAGTAGAATAATTTATATCTCATATTTTAAACCATTGAAATTTCCAGGGACTTTCAAAAATAATTTCAAATTTTTTATTAAATAAATATCAGGAATGGTATATACCGAAATCATTCATCAACAAAAGAAAGACAACTTTGCAAGAGGAAATATCTTCAACTGACATAAAGCGTCCGAAACTTTCAACAATCAAGTCCCGTTTTTGTGGAAAATTAGGCCACAAAATGATGGAAGGTCGAGCTAACAGCAGCAAAATCATCCTTCGTCTCACGGAACATTCTGGAACAATAGCGGCAGGAGCGCACTTGCTCACCATAAATAAGCGAATGTGGTGAACTTGGCCATATTTCAACACATTGCAATAAGTTCAAGATGGATAAACACAAGGATACAAACTAGATGAAAAGAGTGGAGCTGCGAAGTAGTTGAGCCCAAAGGAGAGATGGTTCATCAAGGCGAGACGTTCATAACAACTTTCGATTCTGGATCGGAATGCTCATTGGTAAAGCAGAAGATAAGTGTCAAATTAGTTGGTAAAAGAATTAACAATGTAGTGATGTTGAAGGGTATTGGTAGTGGCGGCATTTACAGTACTTAACATTTGACAAAAAGTATAAAGAAGGCAAACGAATGTCTCATGTTGACTTCTTTTCAAGAAATCCGCCTTCAGTTGAATTGACTTGCAAAACTCTAGAAAACGAGTAAATTTGGCGGAAATATCTGACAATTGGCTTTTGGCCGAACAGCGTCAAGACTCTGAAATATTTAATATTGTAAATATATTGAAAGAAAATTCTCTTGCTGAGGACATTGCTTAAATTTACGAATTGAGAGCAGGAATACTGTATCGAAAAATTCAGCGTAATGGTAGAACTCGAACCTTATCAATTGTTCCTCGACCATTTAGATGGTCCGTAATAAATCAAATTCATGAGTCCATCATGCATTTGGGATGGGAGAAGACTTTAGATAAGGCCTATGACTATTACTGGTTCGATAATATGTCCAAGTATATTCGGAAGTTTGTTGATAACTGCATTACATGTAAAATGTCAAAGTCTTCTTCGGGTAAAGTTCAATTAAGTCTTCATCCAATACCAAAAGTAAATACACCTTGGCACACAATTCACATCGACATAACTGGAAAGTTGAGTGACAAGTCTGATCAGAAGGAATTGTTCAGGTGGACGCTTTCACTAAATTTGTTTATTTAACCCACACGCTTAAAATTGATGCTGAAAATTGCATAAATGCTGTCACGTCCGCTATTTCTCTGTTTAGAGTACCAAATCGCATTAAAGCGGATCAGGGCAGATTTTTCGCCAGCACTAGATTTAGTGAGTTTTGTTCACAACAAAAAATTAATTTACATTTGATTGCGACAGGTGCAAGAAGGGCTAATGGTCAAGTTGAACGCATTATGAGCACCTTAAAGAATTTATTAACGGCCGTTGAAACTAGCAATCGAGCCTTAAACTGTACGGTTAGTCGAGTGACAAAAGCTAGCCCCTTGGAATTGCTTATCGGCAAAGTTGCTCGCCCGTTGGAGTTGCTTCCACCCTGCGATGTGGTAGAAGAGGTCGACTTGGCAGATGTAAGAACACGCGCAGGTCAAAATATTTCAGCTGCAGCAACATATAACAAGGAGCAATTTGATAAAAACACCCTGCGATATGGTAGAAGAGGTCGACTTGGCAGAAGTAAGAACACCCGCAGGTCAAAATATTTCAGCTGTAGCAACATATAACAAGGAGCAATTTGATAAAAACAAGGCTAAAATTGTTGGATGCAAGGTTGGAGATTTCGTATTGTTAAAAAATGAAGAGAGGCATCAAACAAAGTAAAGTCCAAAGTTTAGGGGGCCGTTTCAAATAACTGAATTATTAGAGGGGGATAGATATATTCTGAGGTCTTCGACAAATAATAGAAAATATAAATATGCTCATGATGACATAAGAAAATATCAAATGCTCAAATACCAATTGAATTTAAAAGTTGTAATAAGGATTTAAATAATGTAATTGAAAAAGAAGCTGTTGAAGAGACATTAATAAAAAAGTTGAATCAGAAACTGTTGAAAGAGACAGTAATGAAGTAGTTGAAAAAGACACTGTTGAAAGAGACAGTACTGAAATAATGTAAAAACAAGAAATAAAGCAAACTTCGGCAAGCCGAAGTTCATATACCCTTGCAGCTATCGCAAGAATTAAATATTTTTGAAAACATTAAAATTATTATTTACTTGCGTATATGTTTAAAAACATTGAAGCTATGACGATTTGCAGCTTAATTATTTGATTGTTCTTTTATATATTTTTATTATTTGTATGGGAGCTATATGATATAGTCGTCCGATTTTGATGAAATTTAAACCATAATTCTGAAATATTTAACCATTGTTATATGTCGAAGGACAAAACAAAAAATTAAAAAACAGCAAAGTTATATTTTTTTTTCAATTATTTTTCCGATTGTTCCTATGGGAGCTATATGCTATAGTCGTCCGATCCGGCTCGTTCCGACTTATATACTACCTGCAATAGAAAGACAACTTTTGGGAAAGTTTCATGCAGATAGCTTTAAAACTGAGAGACTAGTTTGCATATAAACGAACGGACAGACGGACGGACAGACGGACGGACAGACGGACATGGCTAGATCGACTCTACTAGTGATGCTGATCAAGAATATATATACTTTATAGGGTCGGAAACGTCTCCTTCACTGCGTTGCAAACTTCTGACTGAAATTATAATACCCTCTGCAAGGGTATAATAAACTGTTGAAAGAGACAGTACAGTTGTTTTTAAGAGTTAATAATAAAATCTGTAATAATAATGTAAGTGCAAAACAATTGTTTTGATCATGGCGTGTGACGCATTAGATAATATTTTGAGAAACCTGAATGATTAATGATAATGTAAAAATGAGCTGTATCAATAGGAAAATGTTATTTGTAATGGAAATAATAGATTTAGATGAAGAACTAAAAGTTATATTTGAATAAACTTTTATAAGGTGATTGAATGGTAACAAAGCATTTTTGGTAAAATTGCACGAGGTCGTGTAATAGTCAGGATGGCCGTGTCGGCGCACACTAAGAGTGTGTGGATGTTGGTATGAGTGTATGGGTATACAGTCTCTGGAAAATTCCAGAAGTAATATTGAATCAGCCTCTAACGGTGCTTTGTTTGGTTGCATGTGTATTGTCGCTTAAGAAGTACTGTTTTAGCGGGGAGACAGCGTTGTGTCGCTGTTGCCGAGTGTGGTACGGTGGTAGGCACAGAAAGAAGAAGGGATGACGCTGGTAGTTGCGTTTAGGATTTCGTGCGTGTGTAACCGAAACTCGCTGCGCTATTACAATGTCGGAAAATAATAACAACGCTGCAATACATACATACATACATTTATTGTATGTTACTGATCATGTTTTAAAATCTAACCGATCGGACGCCTATATCCTTTATTCTTTTGAAGGATCGGATAATATTTAATAAACTTGGTATATATCGCTATTTATTGACGAATCATTTTTTAATTTCATATTCGTCCTTTGACTGCAGGATTATTAAATCTGCAGCCCTGCCAAAGCTAGCTTTGTTCTCATTATACCCTTGCAGAGGGTATTAAAATTTCAGTCAGAAGTTTGCAACGCAGTGAAGAAAACATCTCCGACCCTATAAAGTATATATATTCTTGATCAGCATCACTAGGCGAGTCGATCTAGCCATGTCCGTCTGTCCGTCCGTTTATATGCAAACTAGTCTCTCAGTTTTAAAGCTATCTGCATGAAACTTTCCCAAAAGTTATCTTTCTATTGCAGGTAGTATATAAGTCGGAACGAGCCGGATCGGACGACTATAGCATATAGCTCCCATAGGAACAATCGGAAAAATGAATGAAAAAAATTATAACTTTGCTGTTTTTTAATTTTTTGTTTAGTTCTTCGACGTTTATTAATGACTAAATATTTCCAATTTACGGTTTAAATTTCATCAAAATCGGACGACTCTAGCATATAGCTCCTATAGGAACAATCGGAAAAATAAATGAAAAAAAATTATAACTTTGCTGTTTTTCAATTTTTTGTTTAGTTCTTCGACATTTCCGATTTACGGTTTAAATTTCATAAAAATCGGACGACTATATCATATAGCTCCCATAGAAATATTAAAAATATTTAAAATAACTATCAAATAATTAAGCTGCAAATCATCATAGCTTCAATGTTTTTAAACATATACGCAAGTAAATCATTATTTTAATGTTTTCAAAAATGTTTAATTCCTGCAATAGCTGCAAGGGTATATGAACTTCGGCTTGCCGAAGTTTGCTTTCTTTCTTGTTTTTCATTATTTTTCTTTGAAAAATTTTTCTTACATTCTTTAAATTTTATGTAATAATATGTAATAAAATTTTAAAAAGTAATAATATAGATAGCTGAAAAAAAATCATCACCTAGAATTGGTCGTTTCACAAAAAAACATTTTAGCACAATCGAATATCAAAAGTCATACTTAAAAAAGAAATCGTTGTAGTAAAATTATAACGTTTTTTATTGCGTTGACATTAAGGTAATTCCAACTTACATAAGAACAACATTAAAACCTTCTTGGTAGCTTTTTAAAATAATGCAAATCTTAAAGGTGTTGAACTCTTTTCAGCCATTTTCAAAAAGATTCGTGAAATGAACAAAAAATTAAATGGCCGCGCTATTTCTATATAAGGCTGTATACTAAAATTTTAAAATATTTTCCTCTACTTGCAGAATTTTTTTTCCTAAATTTTAATAAATTTTCTTATCTTTATATTTTAGGAAGTGGTGATTGCTAGCTCATTATCTGTAACCAGCGGTATGCTCAATCTAATGAGAAATTGTCCGAAGGAAGCCGCTCATCTCAGAAAAGAGCTACTAATTGCAGCCCGTCATATATTTGCCACAGACTTACGTCAAAGTAAGTTTATTTGAGTTGTATACCATTTTACTGACAGTACAAAAGTTGAAACCCAATACGATGACATTCTCCAATCTTTAAAGCAGGGGTTCTCACGCCTTTGCACAATGAGCATTTTTTTTTTAAGCTAGATAAGTTTGGTGGGGGGCTATACACAAACAATTTTCGCACTTATCCCTGACCCCACAAAAAATTGTGCGCGCCTTTTCGGCTGTTTATTCGATTTTCTGTTTCCTGACTCATTTTCGAAAAAAAATCGAGGCAAAAATGGCGGCAAATGTGGTCAAATACCGCACCAAACAGTAAGTCGTTGTAAAGGTTTCGGAACTCCAAATGCGGCAATTCTGCAATTGACTAAATTATTTGCTCAGCACATCGCAAACAATACATGCGGCTTTCGTTTGGTAAGGAGAAGAAAACTGTTTAATTAGTAGTCTTTTTTACTGAAACTCACTAACTGCCCAGAAAATAGCAAAACTCAATCGTAGACCCGGTTATAATAATTAAATTGGATACCGTCCGAAAGTAATTCAGTATAAACTGAAGTGCTTTTATGTAATGTCTACTAATAAGCATTGAAATATTTCGTATATCAGGACTTTTAAGGTTCGACCAGTTTCGGTATCAATGTTTTTTCTATAAAATTCTTCAGTGCGCTGTGTTTTTCCGTATATTATTTTTAAACCATCATAACTTCAATGTTTTGAAACATAAGTTAGTTTTGTTGTTGATCCGGTGGGTGATGAGTCGCCGTCGATGTCAGGAACTTATTTTTCTTCCTCTCGGGCGAACGGTATGTCCGCTGTTGATTGATGGCCGGCTGGCCGAAGGTGTCCCAATGCTGAATTAGGATGATGTGGTCAACAACTTTGGTTGTAAACTACTCCCCCTTTTAAGTTAAGGCCGCCCCCGGTCGATCCTAAATCTGCAATCACTTCTTTTATTTGGATGGCATATCTTTTTGCCCTACTAAGTCGCTGGTAAGTAAGACCAATGCAGATGAGCGCACAGCATATTGTTCCTACAATAATTGCTGCGAGATGCATTTGGTTGTTGTCAATATCGTCTCGGAACTCCTTGATATACTCCAAGTTTCGTTCACTCAAGCGGTGAAGGTACGGGAGGCTGAGAACATCTTGGTTGGCAGTGATGTTCAACAGGGGGAGCTGGCTGCCCCTGGAGTTCTCTTCTGGGCGTTAGCTTGATTGATGAAGAGGGTTTCATTTATCATGGCCTGTTTATCGAAGGTGATAAGGTGAGTGCCATGTATCCAGACTTCTGTCCCATTGTCCACTCGAACATTGGCTGACCTGTCGTTGATGATTACGAGCCCTTGGTCCACGTATGTGATTGGGTGCAGGTCGCTCTGTCGTGTTCGGCAATGCGCCTTCCCACCAGCATGCAGTTCTTTGGCGCATGAACTCTCTGCCAAACGGCAGAATGTGGCTCCCGGTGACACGGAGCAGTTTTTAATGGCGTTAATTTCTCCGCCGCATTCCGCTATAATGTTGTCTGTTATCTGCAGCATTCTCTCACTATGAGCGACTGGAAAAATAGTTATCTTTCTGCATGCTAATTATACCCTTGCAGAGGGTATTATAATTTCAGTCAGAAGTTTGCAACGCAGTGAAGGAGACATCTCCGATCCTATAAAGTATATATATTCTTGATCAGCATCACTAGGCGAGTCGATCTAGCCATGTCCGTCTGTCCGTCCGTCTGTCCGTTTGTCCGTCCGTTTATATGCAAACTAGTCTCTCAGTTTTAAAGCTATCTGCATGAAATTTTCCCAAAAGTTGTCTTTCTATTACAGGTAGTATATAAGTCGGAACGAGCCGGATCGGACGACTATAGCATATAGCTCCCATAGGAACAATCGGAAAAATAAATGAAAAAAAATTATAACTTTTCTGTTTTTTAATTTTTTGTTTAGTTCTTCGACATTTAGTAATGGTTAAATATTTTCGATTTACGGTTTAAATTTCATCAAGGTCGGACGACTCTAGCATATAGCTCCCATAGGAACAATCGGAGAAATAAATGAAAAAAAATTATAACTTTTCTGTTTTTTAATTTTTTGTTTAGTTCTTCGACATTTAGTAATGGTTAAATATTTCCAATTTACGGTTTAAGTTTCATCAAAGTCGGACGACTATATCATATAGCTCCCATAGGAACAATAAAAATATATAAAATAACTATCAAATAATTGAGCTGCAAATCATCATAGCTTCAATGTTTTTAAACATATACGCAAGTAAATTATAATTTTAATGTTTTCAAAAATGCTTAATTCTTGCAATAGCTGCAAGGGTATATGAACTTCGGCTTGCCGAAGTTTTCTTTCTTTCTTGTTTTATTTTAGGAAATTTTATGATAAAATGTAAAACGTTAACGGACTGCAGAACCTTCACGGACGAAACGGACAAAAGATCACCTATGGGAGTGTTGGTGGGTTCCTCAAGCCAAACTGATTTTAAGTCTTCGTGGTCTAAAATGTTCGGACTAACAATATTCATTTTGGCAAGGGTTATTGCAAGCATTAAATTTTGTAATTCCATCATCGACATTATGTAGTAGTGTCTCATATAGGTCTCCAGTGTCTACTTGTGAATTTTTGGCGGATCTCAGAATTTTAACGGTCGATGTTAATTTGATTTTGAATTTTAGTGTTTATTTGAATTTGCCTATTGCTTGACTCAACTAACTTCATTTCGGTGAATCTGAGTTTTCTCTAAATCACCGGCGTCTGGTGTCCCTGCTACGACCTTTAGCGCTGACCCTAAGAAATCTAGACTCCTAGCTACTCGATGATAAATGCCCAACGACTCCAACAAGTCCTGGCAGTGGGCGGTATCTACGCTTAGAAGCTTTTTCAAGTGGGATAGTGGAAACGTGTTTATCATGTTGTCTGTTTCTTCCACCACGCGCGCATACTCCGAGAGGTTCGCTGTCTGAGTGACAAACGCGAACTCTTCCCACACTAGTATTTGGCCGTCAACGATGGGGATATACTTGGCCTGGGAATAATCAGTTATGTGAGCCGACGCCAAGGATAGGAAAAAAAAGTATGAGTCCGAACCTGTGGAATTGAACTTTAGCTATTTTTTTGTTCATCGAAAGGTATCCCACCACCAATAAAATAAACTTAAACTAAAAGGCATGCCGGTGGCAATGCAACTTATGGCTAGCACGAATTTGCGCCAAGTGGCTTAAAAGTATAATAAAAATGGTTAAAGAAGGACATTATCTGATTGTACTATTAAGGATTGTCCTTGTGGACCACCCTCCCCTTAATGAGGACCGTGGTCCCCAGGTCCGCTTCTACAGCTCTTTCCTCACACAAGGGTGTGAGTTTATTTCCTAGCCTTTTGTTGGACTTTACGAAAATTTTTCTCCAACTTCGAAGACCCTATTCTACCGAGTCGCGTTCTCCCTGTTGCTTAGCTCGTCCTGTGCGTTTTTTATTTTTCCCGGACTTCTGTTTGTAAGTCGTCCGAGTTCGCCTGCACAACATCAGCTGGTCTTTTTGTCAATGACCGTGTGGATTGATTTGTTGTACCTGGTAGTGGCTAATAGAATTATTTCCACGGTGTCGGTTATTCCGGTGTCGATTTTTAAACATCGACTGAGTTCCGATAGGGTACTATGGAACCGCTCTACCTGCCCGTTTGAAACACTATGTAGAGGCGGTGCATTTGCAATGCTAACGCCAAAATGATTATTGAGCAAGGTTGAGATTGTCTGCGACTTCAACGATGGTTCGTTGTCGCAATAGATTACCCTAGCTTTTGGAAAATAATTCATCAGCTGAAGTAAAGCTGGTTTAAGATCCTTAATGGTTCTTGAGTGAACGTGTTGCACGACAGCAAATTTCGAAAATTTGTCGATGCAAGAAAAAATATTTCTTGTCGGTAGAGTATATGTCTATGTGCAATATTTCTCCTATATGAGAGGGGATTGGTGTCTCACCCAGCTCCTGTTTTTTTTGGATGTCTGTCATATTTGGCTCTCGCGCATGTCTTACAGTTTGAGACGATTTCGCTGGCCCATTTTGCCATCTTCGGGAAGTAGTACTCAGAGAGCACTTGCTTCACATTTTCCTGGGCCGATCTATGGGCCCTATTATGCTCAGCTGTGACAATTTCCCGCCTCTCATCAACTGCAAAAATGTCTGTTACTCGGTTTTTGCAGTGCCAGAATTTTGTTGCTGGAAATTGTCGAACCAGCTGGTCCTGTACCATGGCCAACGTGTGTAGGTCACAATGGATGGCGTTTACGCCATTAGGAACGATAATATCTGCGATTTCTCTGAGCAATGATTCTTTGCAAGAGAAGCTAACTAAGTGACGCCTTTTGTTCCCAAACAGTATGAAGCTGCGTTTCAATGGGGAGCGCGCCTCTTCGAGAACCAATTGGTTCTGGAAGCAATTCAGTGGTTTGTCCGTAGAATCAATGGTGTGGGTCAGGGAGAGTTCGCTGTGTATCGTGGCTATGCATGATTCAGTTTCCTGCTCATCCATGGCATTGAGTTGTTGTCTGGACAGCGCGTCCGCGGCCAAGTTTGCCAGGCTTATAAAAAATACGCGCACCTGACTCACCGATGCGCGCCTTCCACCTCTTGATTTTAGCGTTCGGATTTGACTTCAAGATCGCAAAAGTCAAGGGCTGATGATCAGTAAAGATACTTATGTCTTTTACTGCGTAGTGCCGTAATTTGGTTAATGCCCAAATAATAGGTAACAATTCCCTTTCATTTGTAGCATAATTTATTTCCCTGTCCTTCAATGTCCTTGAGATCATTGTGATAGGACGACCCTCTTGGGACAATACCGCGCCAATGCCATAGGCCGATGCATCTGTCGTTAGATCAAATGCTTTTTTAAAATCGGGGTATCTTAGCATGACGTCTTCAGATGCCAAGATATTTCGCAGCTTCTGAAACGCTTGTTGCTGCGCCTCAGAGAACTGGACCGAAATGTTCCGTGACCTATGTCTACTAACCGTTCCGTTTTCCCCTTTCAAGATGTCCGAAATGGGTCTTGCTATTGCTGTCCTTTATGAAACATCTGTAGTAGCTCGCCAGGCCAAGGAATGATCTGACTTCAAACACGGATTTTGGTTCCGGGAAGTCTTTAATGGCTTTGACATTCTCTGGGTCAGTTGTTGCACCATTGCTGGTGACTATGAATCCCAAGAAGCTTACGCTCTTTTTAAAGAAGCGTGATTTTTTTACAGACATGTTTGCTTCGTAGAGGTTCTTTAGAACCCAATCTACGTGTGTGACATGTTATTCTTCATTTTCAGAAAAAATAGTCACATCATCCTCGCATACGTGACAAAATTTGCCGATTTGCTCTCGCAAAATGTCGTCGATTGTCCTTTGAAAAATGCTGGCAGCATTTTTCAGACCAAAAGGGAGTCTGCGAAATTCATATTTCCCTCCGTTTACCGAAAAGGAAGTTTTTTCGCGACATTTTAATGTTTTCAAAAACGTTTAATTCTTGCAATAGCTGCAAGGGTATATGAACTTCAGCTTTCTTGTTTTTTAATGTAAATTTTCTATTTTCTATTTTTTCTATCGGAAAACGATATCATATAGCTGCCATAGGAACTATTGAATAATTAAGCTGCAAATCAATGTTATTAAACATATACGCAAGTAAATCATAATTTTAATGTTTTCAAGAATATTTAGTTTTTGTCATAGCTGCTAGGGTATATGAACTTCGGTTTGCCGAAGTTTGCTTCCTTTCTTGTTTTTATTTAAAATCGTTTATACGCATGAAACTTTTACAAATGTGTTTTTTCTATTGAAGGTAGTATTTAAGTCGGAACTAGCCGGATCGGACGGCTATATCATATAGCTCCCATATTGATTTTATACGGATTATTCTGTCGGAAAAAGCTTTAAATCTTTAAGTTATTAATTTTTAATCTTAATTGGATTGAAATTAGTTTTAATGAATAATTCCTTTCGCCTGATTAAAACCTTTTACTCAACTGAAACTATATTTTTCTTTTTTTCTTTTAGAATTCATTCCATCAATTGATAAACTATTTGATGAGGACTTGCTTATTGGAAAAGGGATCACATTGGACTCGATTCGCCCTCTCGCATACTCAACACTAGCAGATCTTGCTCACCATGTTCGCCAAAGCCTAAGTTTAGACGTATTAATTAAAGCAGTAAATCTTTTTTTCAAAAAACGTTCATGATGAAACACTTGCTGTGGGTATACAAACCATGTCTTGCAAGCTTTTGTTAAACCTGGTTGATTGCTTACGACACCACAGTGAAATAGAGCCTCAAAGATCTAGAGCTATTCTTTCAAAACTTTTAAAGGTTTTTGTCAAAAAATTTGAAACTATAGCCAAAATTCAGCTTCCATTAATTATTCAAAAATGGTGAGTACAACACAGGTTTCGGAACATAATACATCATGATTATAATACATAATGGGTGAAAAAATTCAATTGGAATTTGAAACAAAAAATTCTTATCCCTATTAAAGGCATACATAGTTTGCCTTCTCTTTATATATATATATGCTTATGCTTAAAAAAATATCACAACATTTAATCGATTGTTTTAATATATCCCCAAGAAATTTTCCTGCATATTACTGAAACGTTTAACAGGTGTTATTCCTTAGACTTTCATTATATTTCTATATCAAATGTGAGATCGTGTTTCAATCAGTCAAAAGACTCGAAACAATGAAAACCATTATATGAGGCAAAATCCTTAAATTACGCAAAAAAAAAATTATCGTTTTTATGGCAGTTACAGGATATAGTCGTCCGATCGGCAAGATTTCTTACCTTGATAAGTTAACACATACCAAAACACGATTTGGAAAGTTTCAAGAATTTATCTCATATGCTGCGCAAATAATAAGATATATGGCAACTATAGTGTTGAGGCACACTCATTTCTTAAACTAAATTTTTTATCAAAAAATATAACTTACTCCTTGAGTTTATAAAATAAATCTTACTCCTTGAGTTATATTTTTTCGACTAAAAAGTGGAATAGAAATCGATTAAGTGGACTGCAGACAACATTTTAAGATTTTGTTAAAATTTGTACAAAAATAAAAAAAAAGAAACGCATACAAATTAATGTTAAAAACTCACGCTACCTCTTGCCTTCGGCTCTCAAGTTGGTCCCTACGGTTATCTTTCCACCGACTCTTTGTAAAAATTTATTTGTTTTTTATTTTTGTACTTTCTTTTTAATCATATTATTGAAATGTTAGAACCTAAGCTTTGATTTTTACGAGAGAAAGCTCTATTTTAAACTAGTACCACATCTTTCTATGTTACTTTTTGAACGCTGAAAAATACTATCCCGCGTTTCCCTTTTGAATACATAAAATGAGATTACTTTTTACAAGAAAACGATCTTGTTCCTGCAACATTTAAGATATAGTTTACCTATTTTGACCAAATCTCAAGGCATTGGTTCTGAATACTCTGCTAAAACCAGAGATTTATACTCAAACTTAAAAAAAACAAGAAAGGAAGCAAACTTCGGCAAGCCAATGTTTATATACTCTTGCAGCTATTGAAAAAGTTAAATACTCTTTAAAACATCTAAAATTCGGTTTATATGCGTATATTTATTATACATTAATACATTAAAGCTATGATGAATTTCAAATTAAATATTCGATCTTTGCTATCTCAGCTATATGATACCATTACCCGATTCGAATAAAATTAAAAGAGTAATTATGGTTTTTCTTAAAAATAAGTTATACAATTAAGTATTAACCAGACAAACCGCAATGAACAAATAAAAATGCACACTTAGATTTTATGAACCGCACGCTCATAACGCCAGAAAAAAAGTGAGCGAGAATATCGAGAGAGTAAAAGAACAACGAACAGGCGAGAAAGAATGAGCACATTGGAATGTGTGTCTACCCAGTCGGAAAAAACACGCTTTCAGGATGTGTTCTTTTACGCTTCCTTTGCTTGCGAAAAACGCATTCCAGATACCTGAAAGCTCCCTTTCCTTTTTGTTCGAGACGGGACAAGAAGCAAGCCTTCTTTTAGGACCGATCTAAGAACGAATCTTAATGCGTTCCATTGTAAGGTAGTTTCAACTTTGGAAACGCTAGGGTTTCCCTTCCATTTGTACTTTACGAGCATTCTTTAAGCATTCTACAGCGCACTGTTAGAATGAACATAGAAACGTTCCTCGGGAACCTTCCTGGATAGCTTCCAAAGCAAGCATTGCGCAACACATGTAAAGAATGAATATTGATCCCTTCCACAAGAACACATTTAGTATGATTCCAAAACATGCCTTCTAATAGTCTTACCGAAGAATGCAAATATTATCGTTCCCAAAAAAACTATTGGGAACCGTTTCTTTTTCAATTCCAATTTTTATTTATTTAATTTTTTTTTTATAAACGTTTGATTTAAAATTTATGGTAATTAATTATAATTACTATAATTACTCCGGGTCGTTTTTTTCTTTTCTCATCCTTTCTGCTATACTTTTAGCCTTGTAAGTCTTGTTCTTAGCCCTAGTGAAGGCCAGTCAAAGGTCTTTTATGTGGTCGGTTAAGTGGTAGCTTTCCCTCCTTTGTGATATAATAATGAGAAAATATAATATAAAATATAATAATGAGGAGGAAATATGTAATTTTTTAAAAATATGATTGTAAGTTTGTAAAACACTTACCGAAAAATGTTTCATTTAAATGAATGTAGGACGCAAAACCTTCCCTGTCCCTTGTACCGCCATAATTAAGCTCCATTATCAAACTTGGACTTAATATCCTACTGAAGATCTAGATTTGCCGAATTCAAACATTTTTAAAAGTGCATAAAGTTGAACTCCAGTAACATTATTATTATGGTACCATTCTTATAATTTTTCATTTTTAATAGGTATCATACTCAAAAGAATAGTTTGATGCACTTTTATCCGATTCGGGTTCACATAAATTTGGGCATTAATTTCCAGAATTATTTTCTGTATCAAAAGTAAGAGCTCTAGCAGCCGATTGATGAAGCTCTTCCTTTTGTTTTTTTGTTAAACGGTGAATATTTGACAGCGACATTCCCCTCATTTTAAATTATATTAGTTGTGTTTATTTTGTAAAATATTTTTTTCAATTAAATCATTAAATTTTTTATTTATGTAATGTCTAATTTTTTAAATTTATGTTTATTTTTCTTAAATTTTTGTTCACTTAATTTGTGTTCTTAGGACCACCCTAAAAACACAACTTGTATGTAAATGTTAGTCCACCCTAGGAAGAAGTAAAAGGAAGAGAGAAAAAAGACAGCACACAAATAAACAAAACGAGTTCACAAAACAAAAAAATTTAAATTTATGAAATATTACCTTTTGTCTTGAAATTGTTTTTCTGGAATTAAACGAAAATAATATTTAAAACGCATTAATTAAATTAAAACTCCACACACAGTTTTATGAACAATTTGTTTACATTTGTTTTGACCGTACACTGTTTTTAAGACTGTTAATAAGTGTTCATAAATTTAATATTTTTTGGCACAGGTACACATCACATATTGTTTTAATTTATCCATTGTTTGGTTCATGTTATTTTATTAACAGTATTGAAACTCCTATTTAGTTTGTTTATATCAACACTATACTTACTTGAAAATTAAAACCGCAAAGAATATATTAATTTCACAAATCACAGAGGCACCAGCTTTTCCAATTGGAAATCAAAATGCAAGTGGCGAGAAATGCAAAAGAAACGAAAAAGACATCGCGCTTTCTTGCATTTTCTCTTTTGTTCTTGTCGTTTGCTTTTTAGAGTACCGTTTTGTTCGGTTACTCCTTGTGAATACAGTGACGGAGAAAACTATAGCGCCGGCAAATGTAAAACAATAATTCAAAACAAAATCTCGCTTTGAAAAGAAATCATGTAATCGTGTATATATTATTACTTAAAATTAAAATATATAAAAAACTGATTCAAATTAATAAAATACCACCAACATAACAAAGCGTTCAGATATTGTTTTTAAAGATAAAAAGTGAATATATTTACGCCGCTGCTGTTCATTAAGAAAAATAGATTAATAGCCTGATTCCATTGCCGCATTAAAACGTATTTAGCCAAATGCGCATTTATTTACACAGGGAATCCTATAAGGCTAAATGCCGCATTTAAAATAAATGCGATTTTTAAATGCGATTAAAAACCATTCGCCCCGAACGTTTTTAGAAAAAATACCGGAAAATACCGATGTTATTTTCTTCGTGCCACCACTACAACAGATGTTTTCTATAAGCAAGGTTGGCGCAATTTTTGATGTCTTTTGAATTTAAAATCTATTTTGTATATAAATTACTGAAACCTAGAGCGCACGCTGCAAATTCTGCTCGAAGTACCACAATGCATTACTGCTGGATCTCTGGCATTAAATAACTCTCACATATACGGGTACCCTTGCCCTTTTTAGAAACTGTGGTGGTCTCCATTGCAAGCTTCTCTTCTTTGTCGTCCAAGTTGGCAAATGTATCGGTCGCAATATGGATGTCCTGCTGAGCATTACAGAGTTTAGTCTACTAAACTCACTCATGTTCAATAATTTAAATTATTTTCTTTTGGATTTGCCAAAACTCAAAAGTATACAAGCCCAGATCAGCTGTTAGTGCCACTCACATGTCGGAGTAGCATTTACTAAATGCTAATGCGCCAATGGAATCAGGCACATTTAAAAAGTCCACTAATGCGGCAATGGAATCAGGCTATAAATTAGTTTCCCATTTTTTTTTCCATTCCGAAATAAGACTTCTTTTTGCGTTCTTTCGTAAGCGAGGTTTTCGGTGAAAAACACGATCTCAAAAATATCGGACGATCGGCAGCGTTCGGTTTCAGCTTTTGTTTACATTGCAAAAGAAGGCTTTTTTATGCATTATAGTAGAAGGGACGATTTCATAAAAACTCTTTAGAATGCATAAACAATACTTCTTTATAGCTTCTCACATTCTTTTTCGCTTGCAAAGCATGCATGAAAGAAGCTTTTTTTATTGGAATGCGTTCTCTAACTTCCGACTGGGTATTTGAACACGCAAATTTCAACAGTAGTTCTGAACTATCAAATCATTACCTTCAAATAAATTTTTTTTTCTTAAATAAAAAAAAAAATGTTAAGTTACATTTCTTTTCATTTTTTTTTTTTATTTGTATTGCTTTAACGGGAGCTATATGATATAGTCGTCCGATTTTTATGAAATAAAATCGTAATTCTGGAACTAAAAATAAAATTAAAAAAACAGCAAAGCTATAATTTTTTTATAACGGACGGACAGACGGACATGGCTAGATCGACGCTCCTAGTAATGCTGATCAAGAATATATTCACTGACTGAAATTATAATACTCTGTGCAATGGTATAAAAA